ACACGATTACGAAGATCAAAACAAATGGTCGTCTTTTCAAAAAATCGAAAATTTGCATAAGAAACCACCTTTCGTGCTTTAACAAAAATACAATTTTATTATATGTGCCACTAAAAGAATCCCAACCCTAACACATACCTCAACTCTACCCTAAATAAACTTATCGAATTCCCGCGGAAGATACATATCTCGCGAGAGATGCCTATAATTTCCCTTATAAAAAATTATAGTATCTTATTATATATATAAAACAATAGTAATTTTTAACTTTTTATACAGATTTTTCAAAAAATATTTGGCAAATTTATAGAACTAATATTGCTCTACAAAGTTACCGGTCAGTTTTTTGAAAAATCTCTTGTATAAAAAGGTATAGTGATTTAAAAAATTAAAAAAAAAAAAAAACACAATAAAAACTAAGAAATGCACCCAAAAAATTTCTTGGAAAATTTTTAGCGACAATTATTAATTTTATAATTAATTTTTTATATATGCAAGTGACTATTACCGGGCCTAAAAAAATACATAATTTACAGGCTTAATTTCGTTTTTTATAAAAATGTGGATCTACAAGAAATGGAAATCTGTATCCGATTATCCAATTACGTATATCGAATCATTCCGGTTTTTTTTGACACAGTTATGATCTTTATTAGTAGAGCAAACAGAAAAGTATTGGTTCCCGGCTAGCTTTAATTTTGATCGGTGATCTAAAGTAATTATTGGACCCAAAAAGCAGATAGCTTTGTTTTGGTGTAACGTTGCCATGAATAAATTTAGTGCACTTTAAAATTTTTATACAAATCACGTACATTTGTTTTTACTCCTTATTTATTTATTACTTTATTTCAGTTTTTCTTTTTTGCGTATATATATATATATATAAAATAAACATGGATAGTTGGTATGAAGTGCTCACAGCATGCGATCCAAGTCTAAATGCTGTTCAATCTATAACAGCAATCGCCTTCGATCCATATCAAGAACTTCTATGGACTGGAAATGACAAAGTAATTGTTGATTTTCAAAATTTAAGGTTTTTTTTAATTTTTTTACAGAGTGAATCTAACATTGTATTATTTAAGAATATAAAATGTTAATAAATACTCAATAATCATAAGGGTCGAGTGATTTCTCATTTTGGTGATGGCTTGCAACGATATACGAGTTTTAGATCACACTTATCTCAAGTTCGTCAGTTATTAGTCAGTGATAAGGGTGTGATATCATTAAGCCCAGATTCCATTAGAATGACCAATCGAAGAGGTTTGGTCAGGTGGACTATGAGGTGTGACTATTCTGCTTGATCCTCATTCGAATGTGTTTGTTACAAATATTGATCATTTGTTTCTCCGACATTTCTGGATCAAAATATTTATAAAGCAATGAAGATACTTCAAATTTACATTGCATGGCTTATACTACTATTCCAAATTCAGAGATTTTGGCTGCTGGAAAACAAAATAATCTGCTTGTTATCAATGTTGCAAGAGGTTCTGTAGTTAAAAAGGTTGTTTATAAATATTATAAATATTTTAATCTTTGATTTATAAACGAGGCTTTTGCTGATCTCTGGACTATTCGCGGATCAGGTTGAATCAGCCAATGAAATTGTAGTTATGCGAAAATCAAGACTTGTTTGCTGTGGTGCAACTTCTGGTGAAGTGATTTTGAGAGATCCGAATACTTTCAGAGTTGAACACAGAATACGTGCACACACTGGAACTATATCTGATATAGATACTAGTGGAAATTTGTTACTAACTTGTGGATTTTCTGTCAGGTTTGCAAGTTCTACACATTAGTTTATAAGTTATTTATAATATGTTCTCTATTTTATTATTAATTTCATTGTCAATTTATCGATAATTTTATCAATAATTTTTTATTGATAATATTATTTACAATTTTATTATTGATCTATGGACATCAATATTGTAGACATGGGAACCTTATCATTGATCCTTTAGTTAAATTATATGACATTAGGACAATGCGTCCTCTTGCGCCCATTCCTTTTTATTCTGGTCCCTGTTTTATCAGGATGCATCCCAAACTTTCAACTACTGTTTTTGTCGTGTCTCGATCTGGTCAATTCCATGTCTGTGATGTAGGAAATGCATCTGACATCCATTTTTATCAGGTATTCTTTTTATCTTATTAGCAAATATATAAATATTTCTTGTGATTTATTCATTTCTTTCAATATAAAGGCAAACACTGCTAGTTATATAAATGCTTTTGACCTCTCAACATCTGGTGAAATGCTTGCGTTTGGTGACAGTGCTAGTATTGTACATCTTTGGAGCGATAGAAAGGGTTCAAAAATTAATGCATACTCTAGTAATGTTGAGTTACCTGCTGTTCCTTCTCCAACTCCGAATGTATTTATTGGTGAAAATGAGTATGTTTATTTTTATTTATTTATTTTTTCTTTTCAATTGTATTCTAAATTTTGCATTTAATTACTTTCAGTCCCTTATCATCAATCGGAATGCCTTATTACCGAGAACCATTGCTTTCTGTGTGGCCATCTAATATGATGTTTGAAGTCGGAAATCCGCCTCCGAAAATCGATCCTGACATCATGAATAATATGAAAATGATTGATTTTGTTGGATACGCCCCAAATATAGGCAACAAAAAACGAAATCAAACTGTTAGATGGTCAAAGAAAAAGCATAAAGCCGGAACCCCAAAGTTTCATTCTGAAAAGGAAAGAGAATTGCAATCTGGAAAGGAAACCAAGGTAATTTCTAATCTCTTGGTAATTATTGGTAATTATTGTGATGCTTTTACAACAAAATATTGATTGACTTTTTATAGGAACCGATCAATTTATTTGATGAAGAAGCTGAATTGGGTGCGATTGGTACTAGAATGCCAAAATATTATAAACGTGTGGAAATTAAATATAGTAGATTTGGCATAGATGATTTTGATTTTGAGTGAGTTTCTAAATATTGTTATAATTTATTTAGATTTATTTATTTATTTAAAATCTATTTTTCTTATTTCTGAACAGGTTTTACAATAAAACTCGTTATGCAGGATTAGAGACACATATAACAAATTCATATTGCAATTCGTTATTACAAGTTTTATTTTTCACACCGGCTCTTTGTTTGATAACTAAATCTCATATTGGTTCTTCATGTTCAAAAGAAAATTGCCTTTGTTGTGAACTTGGGTTTCTGTTTCGTATGTTGGAAGATGCTGTAGGAAGAAATTGTCAAGCTTCTAATTTTTTGAAAGCTTTCAGTACAATTCCACAAGGTAGGTTAGGCTACAATAAAAATGAAATCATGTAAAAACGTCTTATTTATGTGATTTCGTTTTGATAAATCGAATTATTGGATAAACGATGTGCAGCGGTAGCTCTCGATCTATTTGAACCGGATAAGCCTGACGAAAAGTCTCCATATTCAATGCTTATTCAGAGTTTTAATCGTTTCATCCTCGAACAACTTCATCAGGAATGTAATTCTGATAATAATCCTCGATTGTTAAAATCTTTGCCTTTGGAAAAAACTTCTCTTTCGGTGATACAGCAATTGTTTGGAATGCAAATGATTTCGGTTAATAAGTGTCAATGCGAAGCGGAAACTGAACGCAATATCATTTCATTTGTTGTTGATTTAAATTATTCTATAAAAGTAGGCTTAATAGTCTTATTTTATTATTAATTGCTATTTAACTGAAACTCTCCCAACCTAGTTTAATGTTATTCAGAACTCAAAGGACAAGCATACTGCACCAAAGTCTTTTGTAGACATTTTACGATCAAGTATTAGACGCGAAACCCAACCAAAAGCATGGTGCAATAATTGTCAACAATATACTCCAATAATCGCTAAAAAAATACCAAAAAGTTTACCGCCTGTTTTAACAATTAATTGTGGTCTTGGAACATCAGTTCCATTAGATTACTGGAGATCACTTGATAAAAATAAAACTTGGTTACAAAAAAGGTATTTTATCTTTCAAAATGTTAATTTGAAATTATTGAATGTATCTTTTTATCTAACTTTAAGATAGGATTTCTATGAGACTAGAACAGGATGATTTAATTGTAAATGAATTAGCATCAGATGCAGTTGTTGATACTAGTTATACAGGCAATTTAGATAATGCAAATTATGAAATAATGGTTAATAATAATATATGTATATGTGTAATTTTTGGATGGGTTATAATGTATATATTAATATTTTAAATCTATATTTTAAAAGGCAATCATTGCTCAAATTAGGATTGAAAAAGAAACGCCACATTTGGTAGTTTTTATAAAGGGTTGTATATCTTTTTTATTAAATATACTTTCAATAATGATTTTGATCACTTATTTACAATATGAATTAACAAGACTAATTTATTAGTTCCTAACAATGAACTAGAACCAGGGAGTAAAGGTCCTTGGTATTTGTTTAATGACTTTTTGGTCAGAAATGTGACTGAGCAAGAAGTTTTCAATTTTCAAGGATTATGGAAAGTGAGTGAAAATATTTGTTAGAATTGCAATACAATTGTTAATGCTTTATTAAATTTTTTATATCTGATGCACATTTAGACACCAGTAGTTTTATACTACTCAAGAATTGATATTACTGATCTGATAGATATAAGTGCCCTACCTTCTGAAATTGATAAATCTATACTATTTAAAGATATATCTATATCCAAGTTGGTGGTTTTAAATTTCTTTTTGAAATGCAAATGGTATACCATACTTAATTTAATCAAATTGCTATTTATTAGGCATCGTTTAACCAATAAAAAAACAGCGCACTTACTAACACCAGAGGAATTGCCACAACCTGGAACATTAGTCGCAATTGATGCCGAATTTGTTGTTTTAAATCAGGTACATTTTCAGATCAATTATACAAAGTTTACTGCAATATATTTTTTTCATAGTTTTGCTCCTTATATAGGAGGAGACAGAGATTAGAAGTGACGGAACCAAATCAGTTATTAGACCAAGCCGTCTAAGTTTGGCTCGTGTTAGCGTTTTACGTGGTGAAGGACCGAAAGAAAGTATACCATTTATTGACGATTATATTGCAACATCAGAACCCGTTGTTGACTATTTAACTGAATTTTCTGGGATTGAAGGTTTAACCTCTTAATTATTAAAATTTCATAAATTGTTTGCAAGTCTGGTTATATTTTAACACATATCTTTGTATTATATATTGATATTTAGCTGGTGATTTGGATGTTTCAGCGTCTAAACATACATTAGTCCCCCTCAAGGTGCTGCTTAACTGCATAACTTTAGCATTGTATTTTGAGCTCGTAATTTAGTCTAAATCATTTATGAACATTAATTAGGTTGCTTATAAAAAATTAAGATTACTTCTTGATCTCGGTTGTGTATTTGTTGGTCATGGATTAAAAAAAGATTTTCGTATAATAAGTAATTATTTTTTTTCATAATATTTTTAAATTGTAGTTTATTTGTAGTTTACTTATTTATTTATCTGTCCATATTTTAATTATAAAAGATATATTAGTTCCATCAGAACAAGTAATTGACACCGTTGATTTATTTTATTCAAAGAATCGAGCAAGGTACTGTCTTGAACTCAAAATAATTTGAATATTTGGTACAAGTGGTTTGTTTCACCGGCTTTTATGATCGTCTAGGAAAATATCACTTCGGTTTTTAGCTTGGTATTTATTAAGACAAGATATACAAACTGAGACACATGACAGTATTGAAGATGCTAGAACAGTAGGTTATTTTATGTTGTTAACGATTATAGCTTTTATAACCTTTTTTTAAATACTTACCACATTCTTGTTCATTTACATCTGTTTTATTAATAATAAAGGCATTAGCAATCTATAAAAAATACTTACAATTTAAATCTGAAGGTATATTTGAAGAAGTGCTAGAAGATATTTACAACGAAGGTAAAAAATACAATTGGAAACCCACCCCTGGAGAGTTTCCTGCTATAAGGTATTGAAATTATAATTCAGTTGATCATTGCATAGCTCTTGTCATGATAGTAATTGCCACGCCTTTTCGTACAATCTCAGAGATAAATTTATAGGTAAATTGAATTTCTAAGATCTCGGGCTTTCGAACAATATAGAACTTTTGGTCATTATAAAGATATTCTCCGAAGAAAGATGATCAAGTATAGATATTAATTATGTGTTTTTGGAAGTTAAGACTTATCTAACATTCAAGAGGTGACATTTTATATAAAATGGCAGCTACTGTTTAAACTGTATTTCAATAAAACTAAAAAAACAATACAAAGTAAATTTTACATATAGAATATGTTATTTAAACATATTCTACAAATTTATTAAGAAATTTTTGATATTTTTGAATAAAAAATATAAATAAACATGTGCATTTTTAATCTGATTATTAGGGTTGTGTTTAGTAGTTATTTGTTGCTTTAAAAATAATAAAAAGACTACCAACACTTTCGGATCAGAAAACAATTCTGAGGTGACAGCCTACCCAGATAAGATGATCCCAAAGTAGACCTAGATAAAGAGATAGTTGAAAGGTAATACATTATACTTTATGATGGTGAACGCGATTTCCAGTTTTGAGAAAAACCCAGTGATATTGAGAATTAAAATCTATAAGAAGTTTTAACCAATCAAACTTTGATTTGCATAAAAGTTGTGGAACAGTGAAATTTATATAAAGGGTTTGGAGCAGCGAATTAAAATTTTAAACTCAGATATTCCGATAATGTCTAATGATGTAAATAGTGATAATAACCCTCCAAGTTTGTTAAAGGAAATTGGATACGATACAATTGACATTTTAGATCCTGCGATAGACACGACTGGAACAATTTGTGACGTGATTAATCTTTCATCAACTGTAGCTGTTCCATTTTCGCGATTTTTACCAATAGTAGACGATGTAGTAAAAATATTTGATGAAATAGCCAAATTATATCAATCAGCTGAACATAATAGACGTATGTGGTACATTATTTGATAGAGTTATAGCAGCTGAAGCAGCAATTCGTACTTTGAAAATTCGTAGAGATGAACATAAGAATTTTTTAATCAACAAAATTTTGTTGTTATGCAAAAATTTCTAAGGAATATAGAAAACATTAATGTTTCTTTTATATATATATTTTTTTTTGTAAAATAATCAATTGTTTTAATTAAAATAAAAAAAATAAAAATAAACTTTTAATCTAGATTAACGATGTTTCACAATTGAAAGGATTATCGAAATATATTCAAGCAAAATCAATTGAGACCACTTTTCAAGAATTGACTACAGAATTTGATAGATTTGTTTCTATTTTGAATTTAACCATCACTATTGATACCAGAGATCGTGCTCGAAAAGATAAAGAAATCTTGAGAAAAGATATTGAAGATCTTAATAAGGTAGTATCGATAATGTGTTTATTTTAAAATTATTTTTTATAAGTCATATTTAATACAGTATAAAATATAATAGTATTTAGAAGATATTGATGCAGGTCTTACTGATGTAAATAAAAATGTATCAGATTCCGTTAATCAATTAAATTTATTGAAAGATATGATGGCTCAATTAATGGCTGAAAAAGAAAACAAAAATAATAATACACAAAATCAACAAATAATTAATAGTTTATTCGAAGATACATCAATAAGGTTTTGTGAATTTGAAGAAACCACCGAGATTCGAGGATCCAAAGTTAGAAAATATATTCGATTAAAGGATCGTGAAGAAGTTGCACTTAAACTCGTAGCAAACGAAAAGAATTCTGATAATGATAGGGAAAATATTCGTAATCGAGTTGTCATTCTTAAAAAGCTTAAAGATTGTCAACAAATTCTTCAATTTTATGGCCTCACCTCTGATGGTGATAAAATATACTTAGTAACTGAATGGCAGAATTGAGAAATTTGAAAGAGTATTATACGGCTTATAAACCTATAGGTGTTAAAAAGAAATTAAGGATTGCTATTGAT